CTCTTTGGATGGAGTGAGGAGGCAGTTCTTTAGTGTTTCCCATTGTTCGTTTATCTCGTAAGTTTTAGTATCTAATTTATCAAAGTTTTCGTATATTTATAATTCAATTCAATCAATCTATTAATAATAGACTTCAAAACAATAAATTCATCAAATTTCTGTAAATTTAAAAATAATTCACTAATTTATTTTTAATGTTACCAACGGGGGAACGGATAAAGATTTGACAGATATGTAGTTAGCCAACAAAAGCAACAAAATGTAACCAACCAGCCAATACCAATGCAGTATTCCTCAAACCAAACAAATTGTTACCCACTAATGCAGATTCCAAACAACACACAGGGTCAACCACAAATCAACAATAAACAAGGTTATCCACAAATCTCCTCACCGACACCCAGTATGTACAATATGCGAATAAACGAACCCACAACATCTTCCACCAATGCAGAAATAGCCAGCAATACTACATACTGTCATCAACAAGCGATGACGAATCAGCAACTGCGAATGTGACAAAATGAAACATCGTCAAGAAAACCTAAACTGCCACCAATATTTGTTTTCTGTGAAAGCGATTTCCCAGAAATGAGGAAAAAAAATAGTTACATCATACTTGGAACACCGACAGTTCAGAACAAAAGTAAGTGGAGAATTATCCAAAATACATCCCATTAAGGCGGAAATTCCGCAAGGCAGTGTCCTATAACCCCTATTATATTGTATACATCTGATCTACCAACTTCAAATGATGTAACAATTTGCACATTTGCAGATGACACAGTAGTACTCACATGTCATAAACACATCAACACAGCTACTCAACAACTGCAAGACTACTTGTATGAGCTTGAAAATTGGCTGGAAAAATGGAAAATAAAATTAACTTTCAGTTTACGATGAGAAACACCACCACCCATCTATATCAACAATGAGGAAATATCCAGGACTGAAACTACGAAATACCTTGGCTACATCTTTACCAAACCCTGGAAGAAACACATCAGCAAAAAAAGGAAACAAATACAATAATACAAAAAAAAAATCAACTGGCTAATTGGAAAAAACTCTAAACTGTCAAGAAATAATAAAAATTTAATTTATAAAATAGTTATTAAACCAATATGGACATATGGCATAGAGCTGTGGGGCTGTAATAGTAAATCCAATATTGCTATAATGGAAAGATACCAATCAAAAATCTTAAGAGCAATTGTTGATGCACCTTGGTATGTAACCATCCAAAGAATTTATAAGGATCTCGACATCTCAACAATAAAAGAAGTAATCCAGCAAAATAAATCACAGCGCATTCAAAAAGTGAACACACACTCCAATCCAGTTTCCGCAATAGCTCAACATCAAGTTAAGACTAAAGCGACGTTGGCCAAAGGACCAGTAACATGGACACGTTATTCTCTTACTGGAGGGGACCACACCATACCAGAATCAAGGAACAGAACCTAAACTCATCGGATTAACTTGGAATACATTTTTTGTATTCTGATTGTTAATTTATTAGTTATAATAAAAAAAATTCTCCATGAACAATGAGAATAGGTGGAGAACTGATCATGAGACAAAAACCCTAAGGAATTCGGCATTATCCAAGTATGGAGAATACCATTGGCTACATTTTTTCTAAATACTTTTTTTGAATATTGTGTACCATGTTGGAATTAATAGACCAATGTTGCACCAAAAACTTACTTTGTATATTATGGTGAAGTATGTTAAACGTGTGGGATGATATTGAAAAATAAAATGCTTTTGATCGAAGAAATATTATTTACCACAGAATTATCAATTAATAATCATACCTTAATAATAAGAAATGCATAATCATGTTAAACGATATATTCAATTTCCGATATTTTCCATTTGAGCACCATTCTGAAAAGGTAATCCTAATTTCAATTAAAAAAGTTAATTTCGTTACCTAGGAGGAGCAATACAAAGTTATCTTGTTGACTTCAATTTGCTTTGAGACTCTTTTGTAGTGTCATGCTTTTAAAACGAACCTTAATCCTTACTTGTCACCGAAGCTTTATATTACTAACATAAAGCTCTCTTTTTGAAACAAATTAGATTTCGCGAAACTGGTAAAAAGGAAAAGCATGAAAATTAAATTCAGCAGATATTCAATAAAGACATGCCTTGATTCTACGTCAATAGATTATTTCGAATGGGATTCTCAAGGTGGTGAATCGAAATAAAAAAATACGATGGCGTAGTTCAAAATATTGACTTATTCAATTTAGGGAAAAAAATTATTTTAATTAATCTGTTTGGCATAAAAGAAATATATATCTCCATAGTTTTATATATAGATGGCGCCACTGACAACCATTGTATATAATTTAGTAACAACCTTCAAATGCCACCTGCCAAAAGTAATAGTTGATTACATGAAGCCATTTTTGAAATTTTCAAAACCATGGCTTTCGAATTTATTGTAAAATTACAACTTCTTGCAAAATATTTGATCATCGTCTGTTCTGCTTCTTATGTCTGCTCGATGTCTCCACACTATAATTTTTTGTGTCCACCACCACTCATTCATTCTGGCCACATGATCAGCTCAGTTTCACTTCAGCCATGCTATGCACTCTATGACATCTGTGACGCCTAACCCACTTTTTATTTCCTCGTTTCCTAAATGAAAAGAAATAAAGCTCCGGGAAAAGGCAATATCGTTATAGAAGCCGCAAATATTGAAGGGAAAAGAAGAAAGCATAAAGGAACTGTTCAACTTATGTCTATCTTTCCAAAGCAACCGGCCGATATTGCTCTTTTTCCATTTTACTAAAATCCGTGGACACACCCGCTTCCATACACATTCAAGGCAAAACGAGTGCTATCAACTGAAATTTTGACATTACGTCATTGTTTACGAGAATTGAGTAAAGTAAATTTCTTTTGCGATAGTGGCGCTATCGGCCCATGGGGTTAAGTACTAATCGAATAGACGATGATGGATGGATGGTATTGTTTTCTTTTTGAGGTATTATAAATTATTACATAATATATAACGAATTGGTTGCTCATATGAGTCAATTTTAAATTGGGTAGTAGAAATAAGTGACAGACTTACTCACAATCTATTTATTTAGTTAGCGACGAACGGTTTCGACCACTACAGTTTTCTGGGCATCATTAAGTCATCGGTGAAGTACAATCGTTAGAATGATTCCGGTACTAGGTCTGTTGTTATGATGGCGTGTTTCAAATACTCATATATGCTGAAGTTTTGGCTTATTAGGGTACCGGAACCAGTTTTGGACACGACACCAGTGGTGGACACCCAACAAATTAATTCATAATATTAATCAACCTTTTAGTCTAATTGCCTCCACAAACACGGAAAACCTTCAATAGATATATGTAATCTCTGTTATGTGTGATCAACTGCAGATGCCGCTAGTTGTAGTGAACATAATTTCCACATATCAATTTTGGCGCTAAGACAGTCGTATTATTAACATTGGTTATAAGAACGTGAATCAGTGTCTTAACTTATACAAACTTAAATTGGTGTTTTATTAAGTTTACTTAAGTGAATTAACAGTTAAGGTATGCAGTTTAATGTGTCTTTATTGTTTTTTGTTGATTTTTGTCGTTAAAAAGATTTACTTTTAGTGTCCAATACTGGACCTGCAATTAAACTTGTTCGTAAAATGGAGTGGTCCATTTAAGGGTACATACGGTTTTATTTGAAATTACTGGTAAATACATAGATGTTAACATATGATACAAAAAACTCTAAAGAGTTATGGAATGGGCAAGAGTCAGCATTGGATTTATACAATGTTTGGAAAAAGATACCGAACATGGTTTCAATTCCTGAGCCAAAAGAGAACGAGAATTTGTCGCTAGAGAATTTAAATGAAAACAATGAAACACCGTAAGGCGAAAACGATATTCCAGAAATGCTTGTAACAAACCATGAACACGAAATGCAGAAAGAAAACCTGCGAAAAGAAAAAGAACAACTGAAAGAAAAGAACAGCAGAAAGCCAGCTCGAGAAGCGGCAAACAAAAGCAAAACAAAGGCAAAGAATTGAAAAGGAAAAGATTTAAAAAAAAATACAGAAAAGGAAAAAATATGTCTGGAATTAAAAAGAAAAGTCGGAAGAAAAATTTAGTTGGAAATGTTCAAATATAATACAGCCTGGAAGGACCAACATTTCTTGGAGAGAAAGGCAAAGTGGCTTAGTTGTGCGCGTTGTGAAAATAAGATACACAAAATTCGTGTCCCTTCCAAATCTATTGACAATTTTTATACTTGAGTTTGTCTGTGAAAAGTGTAAAATTACTGTGGATAGTAGTGATACATATGACAGTTCAGAAGGAGAAGAAAACTAGTTAATTATATTTTTGTTATTTAGATTCAGTTAGTTACTTATATTAGATCAGTTTAAATAAAATTTCAGATAAATTTTGGAGTATATTAATCAATGGTTCCATTACCCTATATCTTATATCTTGTTACATCGACTTAAAGAGGGGGTGTAAAAGGGGTAAAAGGATCGATGAATAATAAGCTGAACGTCCATGGCTAAAACTGTAGCATAAATGAGCATTTAAAACATGCCATCTTTAACAACAGACCCTGTACCGGTATCATTCTAAACATTGTACTTTACCGATGACCTGATAATGACCAGAAAAATGTAGTGGTCGAAACCGGTCGTTGATAACTAAATAAATATATTGTGAGTAAGTTTGTCATTTATTTCTACTATTTAGTTTATTTTTTTACTAATGTACGCTATAGTGTAAATAAGCATATAGGATTTCTTCGTCTTACAATTTTTTAACAATATGAAACACAATTTCTAACACTATGAGGAAAACAGATTTAATAGGAGCACACAACTTAAATTGATTTCTATTGAGATATTGTATTTGTAACTCTTCTTGATTTAAGTAATGGTTTAGACTGTTAATTTATCTTTGTCTTCTTAATTTATCTTTTGTGTTTCTATTTTTTGCAGGATGTTAAAGCCGTGATAACTCACTCCATCCACAGTACGTTAAATTCAGTTGGGGGAATCCAAGTTTTGTTTCCTTTGTTCTCACAACTTGACCTGCCTTACGAATCCAACGGTTCCTCAGATGCGAAAAGAGACCCGACGTTGTGGTAAGTAAATCTTTAGAAGTATATTTAGAATATTATATTAGAATATATTCAATAATGCCATATTTTGCTCCTAAGAAATTAGTAAAATATATAACGTTTTTACCGATATTTGTATAATGCACAATCTGGACTCAAATACGTGTTAAATAATTTATGAAATGGAATCTACTATTTACCTCATCACACTAAATCAAAACAATTTTTTTTTGACAGTGCTAAACTTTTGGGATTCATCTGCGAATTGGTGGAAACTTCCCCAACTGTTCAGCAACACATGATCCAAAACCGAGGATTCCTAGTTATTAGTTTTATGTTGCAAAGGTCGTCGAGAGACCATCTAACGATAGATGTCCTAGGATCGTTCCTCAGCCTCACCAAGTATCTAGTTACCTGTCTAAGTGCCAATAGCGAACTGCTCTTGAAACAGGTATGTAAGGAATGAAGTGTGTTATAGATATTTTTGAATTGGTGTTTTGTTTGGAATGTACTAGAAATTATCACTTAATTTACTATTATCTCATATACAGGTATATTGGTACTTTTATACAGTTACATTTCTAGTATATTTCTACAAATTAAACAATGCAAATTTCCTTATTCAAACTGTTTACTATGTCAAGAAAATATGACGTTCAGATATTGTTTCTATTTTGAAAATTTTGGTTTCTAAATAAAGGTATGGGTTAATTAAGTAAAAAATGTGCTGCGGTAGACCAAATTCATAACGGGTATTAATTTTTGTTTTCATTGTATTTTAGGTACATTTATTTAATCCAGAATTTTTTAACTTGCCCTCCGAGCAGGAGAAGATATTATATAATGGATGTAAACATATTCAAGCCTAATAAGACCGACAACTTTAATATATGTGAATATTTTGGAAAGTTAGTTAGACCATCTATGTCTACATAATCGGCAGTCTTTATTGAATACACCACGACACTAGATAATAGCAAAATTGTTCAGAAACTATCTGCCATCTCTCCTCCATCGTCCCCTATGATTTATTCTAGACCTGAAAATCACGTCATTATTCACGATGCAAATTTACGTAGCCTCGTGTCTCATTTCAAGATGGCGGCACATAAACACGCCCATAAGTATGTGAATATTTGGGAAAGTTAGTTAGACCAACTAAGTGTACAAAATCGACCAAAGAACCGACAATCTCGTTGTTTCTCATGAATTGTTTATTGTTGTGATTCAGTGTATAGTGAGCACACCTTGATATCCATGCAGTGGCGGCTTTTGGGGGTAGACAGGATAGGCCGGGCCTACCTAATAATTTTAAGAGCTTTAAAATTAAAAAACATATATTCAAAAATTATGTTAATGCATGTAAATAACTTTTAAATGTACTAAATCACTCAATACAATAACGTCCGTTAAAACAACTATGTTATTATATTACCACAGAAAGCATCGAATCGTATTCAGGCATTTTAAATATCATTAATAAGCCCGATCGGAACTGGCCGACCCAGCTCACATAAGATCCCCGTACAAAAAGCGTTTGAAGTTAAGCAGCTTGCCGGACAACGATTTTTATTGTCGTCTTTATGATTGCTGTTTAGGCACCAGATGATCGGGCCTACGACGACCATCGTTGTCACTTGTAACGTAATTATCGAATTGTAATATAAATTTTCTTTTAAATTATGATAAAAAAATATGTAACATAATCTATAATTGTAATAAATTTTTAAACAAACAACACAAATGTGTTGTATGAGAACGCCATAAATAACTCCACATTTTTTGCATGCATTCTTGATGAAACGACCGACATTACTGGAAGGGCACAATGTTCAATATTATGCAGATTAGTGGATACAAAAGGCGTTGTTCAAGAATATTTCTTAGGTTTTTTTTTATCTAGAGGAAGACCGAAGTGCTCCAGCGTTACGTGACTTACTGTTTAGTGTAATTGGTAAATTTGACTAAAGCTAAATTAATTGCTCAAACCTACGATTGAGCTATTGTTATGTCGGGAAAACTTAATGGACTTCAAAAATTAGTGAGAGATTCTGCACCATTAGCAATATTTACCCATTGTTTCGCTCACCGCCTCAACTTAGTTTTACAGCAAAGTTGCTCCAACATTACAACAGTCAAAATATTATTCTCAACGATTCAAGGTATTCCAGCTTATTTTCACGAATCGTCCAAACGGTCCTATTTTTTAAATAAAATACTTGAAAAACTAATTACCACAAATAGTGAAGTAAGATGGAATTCAAATGCAAAAGTAGTATAATATGCTGTGTCACAAGAAAGAAAAAAATTGTTTTCAAGTCTTTCAGGACATAATGAATTGCCCAGAATCAAATGCAAAATCAATTATTCAGGCAGATGGTTTTAAACTTAAGTTGGAGGATTTGGAATTTGTATTTTTATTAAATGTTTTTAGTAATATATTTCAACAAACTGAGCTCTTATACAACATCTTGCAGAAGAAAAATAATGATGTTCAATTGTGTGCCAATTCAGTGTCCAGAAGTGTTGCAATGTTAAAGAGTTGGAGAAATGACCTTACATTTTCTAACCATTTTAACATTGCTGTTAGCGAAACCAATTCTAAACTCATCTTAATTCGTAGTGAACTTGATATTTTACCTGGTAGTTCATCTAATAACAGAGATCAAAGTGTTTTGGAGAAACCTAAAACTATATTTAGAAGGATCTTTTTTGAGATTTTGGACAATATTATCACTCAAAGTAACGTTTCTCGGATTACAAAAAGTTTCAGTAACTGGAATTGGGCGATAATAAAAGATACACAGAATATGACGCTAAATTTACGATGTAATTTGCTGGCTTGGCCTACCCAAAATTTTACCACACCAGTCGCCACTGTATCCATGTACACCAAATTATATGAATAGATCAAAACCAACTTCTATCAAAAGATGTTCAGAGACAATCTGTTGAATCAGACAATAATATCCATCTTCGGACATCCGCCCTCTCTCCTCCAACGTCCTTTACTCTGGGCTATTTAAATCTGTCTGGGACCAGCTTTTTGTTTCATGTCAACCTGTCATCTACGTGGTGACCTTCCCATTTGCTGTTTCTAATTCCTTGTTTTTCAATGTATAATTATTTTGTAGCGTCAGTAGATGGGTAAGGTTGATTCTAGACCAGCAAGTGACGTCATCTCTTCAACCTGCAAGCTTAAGTAGCTTTGTGTCTTAAGATGGCGGCAAATGGTCATATCCCATAAATCTACTTTTATTTGTCATATTTCTCTCTTAGGGTACCCTACACAAAATTCCAATTAATTTGTACTACTTGAGATGCAATATCTTTGATATTACGGCTTTACTACGAATTCAGCTTTTACATATTAGCATAAAGACCGTTGCTTTTAGATAGTGGAGATATTTATTTTATTCTTTAGTATGTAATTTAATTTCATTCTTATCAGATGTCTTCATATCACCCGACATTGGGTAAATAGGAATATTTCGTAGAGGTAAAATATTAGCATTCAACGTCAATTTAATTTAAGATAAAATAACAATATGAAATATTGGATCAAAGATTCTTCTTTTGTCTATTGAATCTATTTTTCTCTGTCTTGGACTGTTAGGGAAGCTTCATTCTATAATTCCACTAGTTTGCTTTACCCAGCGTGTTGAAGACTAGAACAAACAAACACTGAGCGAAGACGTTTTGATGAAGAGGGGTGTTAGACAGTGGTACGTACTGTTCGTCCTGCTTTTTAATATCTACTCTGGTACTAATAAATGGAGAACGTCTGATTAATTTCAGATATACATACCACACAATAATCTTCACAGATAGCTTGTAAGGCCCGCCTACACTAATTACTAAAATAACAGAAACAAGTTAAGAACAACCGTTAGTAGAAGCACCTTTTAAGCGACTGGAGGCTTTTGAGATGCGATGCTTCATATGAGTGTTAAGAATTTCCTGGGTAGTTAGTCTATCAAATAGTGAAATCATGGGAAGACGCTATAAGGGACATGTATCATTTCCAGCTGTTAAAAAACACAAGTTAGAATATCTATGCCACATAGTGATAAATCGTCTATTGTATTATCGTATAGTGCAACTTGTATTACAAAGGCTACTAACGTAGTTTTGTTAGTCGCCAACATTCCTAGTTAAGAAGAAAGCAACCAATGATACATAATAAAACATGAGTACATAGACCTATCATATATAGGGGTTCTCTCGCTTCAATCCCGACCCACCCGAGGGAGTGTAGTGATCATCGCGATAGACTGTGTCTCTGCTCATTTATTTTAACTCATACATAGGTATTTTGCACATTCCTTTATTTTGATCGATCCATCTTATTGGGGAAATTCCTCGTGATCTTCGGCCTTCCACCCTTCCTTGGATAATAAGACTTTCCATATTTTCTATGTCTGCTCTCATAACATATGCAAAGTATTTTAATTGATGGAGATTTACATTGCTGGATGGTCGTTTCTTGACTTTTAGCTCATTTAAAATTTAAATATTTGTCCTGAGGTTATTCCACGGAATTTGTAACATTCTTCTTCAACAGGACATTTCAGTGGCGTCTTTCTTTTTTCTTTCCGCTTTCGTAGGGTCTAAGATTTACATTTGTATGTCAGTATTGGTAATATTAGGCAGTTGATCAAGCTCATTTTTAGAGTTCGTGAAATTTGAGAGTCCTTCCATATTTTGTCATCTTTCCTTAGGCGACTTTTGCTCCTGTAAGTTAATATTCGGCTTAGGTGTATTTATATGGTGTATCAAGCAAAGAATGCTGTTCTACCAAGTTGGAAGAAATCTCGATCTCGACTGACAAGGGTGACGCTTTAAATTCAAAAATTGCTCAGACAACTTGTTGGAAAGAACTTGTTGGAAAGAAAGCAGAAACGCTTTTTCAACAATGAGACCAACAATGAGCTGCTCAAAATGCACTATTATACTATCATTGCTGTATAATATTTAATAATGTTTTCGCAATTTTAGAGGCAGCTGTACTTATAAATCATTCCAGTTCGCGACAAATAGACCCTCATTACCCATCTAGGGTCATAATTGCCAGGTTCTGTGAAAATTTCCGACGGTTGGTCAATAGTTTGAATGTTTTTATTACTTAAAGTTATTCCGCTTGTTAGGCTTGTGTAAAATACATAAGTTACAAAATTTTTAGTGTAACGATAAATTTTACGTTTGTTTATTTATTTGAAGATCAAAAGGGTTTTATGTAATATATTTTATATACCCTGAGAATATGATATATACCGTATGAATACCGCAAGAAACCAGAATTTGTTTCAAATATTAAATTTACCCAGTACCAAAACAAATCGAATGTGTGAACGACGACGATTTTGATTGCGTCGATCCTTCGGCTCTCTCTGTAGTCGATTCTTCTGCTTTAATTTGTGTAATTTTGATGTCTCAATTTGCTAAGTTCCC